ATAATATACCTCAATTCACTCCTTTATCGAGAGGGTCGCAACCGTCTTCGTTTCAGACTTTTATAATCATGGAGATTTTCTAGCACAGAAATGAGTACGTTTGGGAATCACTTTTGATTAAACATAATTTTATTCACAATTACTGTAAAACTAATAATAATAATAATAATAATAATAATAATAAAATTAAAATTAAAATTAAATAGTACTTCGAACATGTTTAGAAGATTTTTTATTTATAAAGAGTGTCTTATATATATAATAGAAATGATTTTTTTAAGTTCAGAGACTAAATTTTGTTTTTACACTATAACTATGATCTCTATTTTAGTCTTCATTTCACATTTTTTGTGAACCTGTATTGATTTTTCCTCATAATCTATTTAATATATTTTTTATCAATTATTCTAGTGGGTATTTGGAATTTTAGTTGAAGTGATCTTCAAGAGATCAAAGTTATGAATCGAGAAGAAAATCGTCGCATTTTCGTTAGCCAGTTGCTCGAGCAGCACCAACAAATTTTTCAACAGGGACTTTTCGCCCACCTGATGCTTGAGCGGTGGGGCTGTGGCTCACCCATCGCCTACTCGCTCGAGCGACAGGGTTTTTCGAATTTTGCATTTTAACATGTTTTGGACTCCTATATATAAGTTATGACTTGTATTGTCAACATAACATTCATACAATATATTGAGAGCTTTATATCTTAATTGAGACATTGAGATCTTGTTGCAAATATAATTACTATTGATTATACTGGATTTATCTTCCTCTGCCCGTGATTTTTTCCCGTATTGGACTTCCACGTAAATTTTGATGTTCTTAAAATTTGTTCTTATTTATTTCATTATTGTCATTATCTTGCTATCATTTTACAAGTGGTATCAAAGCAAGGTTGATTATTCTGCATGGCAAAGATGAAATATGATATTCCGTTATTGGATTGAAGCACAAGATTACTTTATGGCAAGTGAAGATACAAGCACTTCTCGCGCAAATAGATTTGGAAGAAGCCTTGCTTGACTTTGATAAGATGCTTTCAACCTGAACTCATGATGAAAAGCAGCATAGGGATTGGAAAGCCCAATTCCAAATTCATCTATATCTATCAGATCAAATTCTTCAGGATGTTCTCAAGGAGAAAAGTATCGATGCATTGTGGTTGAAATTGAAGCAACTTTGTATGACAAAGAGTTTGACCAGCAAGCCACACTTGAAATAGCGCTTGTGTTCTCGCTAGATGTCCAAAGGTTCGTCTTTGGATGATCACTTAACTATGTTTAAAGATATTGTGATTGATTTGGAGACATTGAAGGCTAAATATGATGGAGAAGACGTGGCGTTGATCTTGTTGTGTTCACTGGTGTCGTCATATATGACTTTTAGAAATATTATTCTCTATAATCGGGATACTCTCAATGTGAAAGAGGTCTATGATGCTTTACTATCTAATGAGAAGATGAGGTATCTTTTTAGAAGATCTAAGAGTCAAGCCGAAGACCTAGTTGTTCATGGAAGAAATCAGGATAGGAATTTTCGTAGGAATATGAGGGTAGAAAAAGTATGTCATTATTGTAAGAAGAATGGACATATCAGAGCTGATTGTTATTCTTTAAAAAACATGAATAAGGCTATTGGTGCTACTGAAAGAAGAAAGCAACTTGTTAACACAAAGGAGGCTGATGTTGTGAAAGATGGGCAAAGTGAAAGATGGCATTGTGAATTTTTACATAGATTTCAAACCTTGTGTGGAATGAGTTCTTAACTCAGCTTGTTCTTTCCATATGTGTCCCAACAGGGATTAGTTTACAACATTGAAAGAGTTTCTAAAGGTACAGTGATTATACGAAAGAACACGCCCTGCAAAATTCTCGAAATTGGTACAATTAGAATCAGAATGTTTGATGGTGTTATCAAAACACTTGCAACATCAGGCACGTTTCAGAACTAAAGCAAAATCTCATATCTTTGAGTATACTTGACTCAAATGGGTCATAAATATACTACTAAAGGTAGAGTTTTGAAGGTAATTCGAGCACTCTTGTTGTCATGAAGGGACAGGAAAATTTTACACAGTTGCACTTTTTACAAGTTTCTATAGTTACAAGAGATACAACAATCTCTACTTCTTCTTTGACTGATGAGAACGTCACTAAACTTTGGCATATGTGACTTAAGGATATGAGTGAGAATGATATAACAAAATTGAGTAAGAGAGGACTTCTTGATGGACAAAAGACATGTAAGATGAAGTTTTGTGAGCATTGTGTCTTTGAATAATAGAAAAGAGCCAGATTCAATACATAAAGACACAATACGATAGGAACACTTAAATATATCCATTTAGAACTTTGGAGATTGGCCAGGGTACCTTCAACGTCAAGAGGAGGTGTTAATTATCTATTGACTATGATTGATAATTTCTTTAGAAAAGTTTGGGTATTATTCTTGAAACAAAAGAGTGATGTATTTGGGACCTTCAAGGAATGTAAAATAATGATAGGAAAGTAGACTAGAAAGCAGGTTAAATGTCTGTGCACTAATAATGGGTTGGAGTTTTGTTCAATAAATTCAATAGTTTCTACATGGCGGAAGGCATCTTGAGATACTTAACGATGCTCGGGACTCTTCAACAGAATGGTATGGCAAAATAGATGAATAAAACTTTGATGGAAGGGGTTCGCTGTATGCTTTCAAAATTTTTGGTTCCCTAAAACTTTTTAGGCTGTTCACCCTCAATTGCCATTGAAAAAAAGATACTAGAAGAGGTACGCTTTGGTAAACCTTCTTGCAATACTGATTTGAAGATTTTTGGGTGTCCTAATAAGCTCATGTGGATAATAGGAAGTTGGAGCCAAAGTCTAAAAATGGTATCTTTCGTGGGTATAAATCAGATGTGAAAGGGTATGAATTGTGGTGTCCCGAGATCAGAAAGGTGGTGGTTAGTAGAGCGTAGAATTTGATGAACTTGCTATGATTCATGATTCATCTCAAGGGGATTCTATAAAAATGAGGAACATAATCATTCAACTCAGGTGGAGTTGGAAATTTGTTCAGGGTGAGATGTTTCAGAAAAGTCTATTACAGAAAAGTCTAGTTTAGAATTGATAGACAATAAGACTTTGCCTACCTTGCCTACACCACTAGCAACACCACAGTATTCAATTGCTAAGGATAGATTTCGCAGATAGATTAAATCTCTATAGAAGTATAGAGAAGTAGACTTGGTAACGTATGCTTTAAATGTGTTGAAGAAACTGATTCCACCAAGGAGCCTGCTACATATTTAGAGGCAATCAGTTGTAGTAATTCTAATAGATGGTTGATTGCTATGCAGGAGGAGATGGAGTCATTGAATGAAAATTGTACTTGGGACTTGGTGAAATTACCTAAGGATAAAATGGTTATTTGCTGCAAGTGAGTGTTCAAAAGGAAAGAAGGGATATCACGGATTGAGAATCATAGGTTTAAGGCCAGATTGGTAGCAAAGGGTTATAGTTAGATTCCAGGTGTTAACTTCACGGATGTGTTTTCGTTGGTTATAAAGCATAGTTCAATTCAAAACTTGGGATAATGGTAAAGAATGACTTGGGACTTGAGCAAATGAATGTCAATATAGCATTTTTGCATAGAGAACTTGAGGAAAACATTTAGATGCAACAACTAGAGGATTTCATAGTTTCTGGAAAGAAAAACTATGTTTGTTTGTTGAAGAAGTCCTTGTATAGACTAAAGCAGTCGTTGAGACAATGGAATAAAAGGTTCTATTCATTTATGACTACCCATAGTTTCAGTAGAAATAATTATGACAGTTGTCTGTACTTCAGAAAGGAAGATGGTAGATCGGTAATATATTTGTTATTATATGTTGATGACATGCTCATTGCTGCCAAGGATAAAGCAAATGTCAGGAGATGAAATCTCAACTTAGTAAAGAGATTGAGATGAAAGATTCAGATGTAGCAAAGAAAATTCTTGGTATAGAAATTTTGAGAGATAAAAAGGCTGGTAGATTGTACTTGAGTTAGAAGGGGTACATTGAGAAGTTGCTTCAAAAGTTCAATATATTGAATAAAGTTCAATATATTGAATGCTAAGGCTATTAATACTCCCTTGGCTGCCCATTTCAAATTATCATCTTGATTGTATTCTCAATCAGATAAAGATATTAATTATATGTCTCAAGTTCCTTATTCCAATACAATTGGTTCGCTGGTGTGCTATGATTTGTACAAGATCAGATTTGGCACATACATGGCAAATCCTAGTAAGGAACATTAAAAAGCAGTGCAATGAATATTCAAATACTTGAGGGGCTCTACTAATGCTTGCTTGCATTTTGGTAGAGATACAAATGGAGTCATTGGGTATGTTGATTCAGATTATGCAGAGAATCTTGATAAAAGAATATCACTTACAGAGTATGTGCTTATTCTTGGATACTGATCAGCTAGAAAGCTTCTTTGCAAAATATAGTAACTTTGTCTACAACAGAGGCAGAATATATGACCGCTACAGAGGCATGTAAGGAGACAATATGGTTAAGGAGATTAATTGTTGAAATCAGTGAAGACTTGTATATTTCTAAAGTGTATTATGATATTCAGAGTGCTATTTTTCTGACTAAGGATCAGATGTTCAATGAGAGGATTAAGTACATTGATGTGAGATATCATTTCCTATGTGATTTGATTGCTTGTGGTGATGTGTATTGAGTAAGATTGACACCAAAGAAAATCCTATTAATATGATGACAAAATCACTTCTCACTGCTAAGTTTGAGCATTGCTTGATCTTAATTGGTGTTTATCATTGATTTAGCTCACTAGGAGCTTGTTTGGAAGTGTAGTATTTGTTTTGCAGATTTACTTTTTTGGAATTTGGTCCAAGGTAAAAATTAAAGTTATGAATCGGAAAGAAAAGCCGTTGCATTTTCACTAGCATGCATCTATAAATAGGCATGTACATGTGCATGTTCTATAATGCCTGTGGCCTTACAATATTTCTCCATTTTGTCCCCACTATAACAATTTCTCCCTTAGGAAAAAAAATGTCTAAAGTCTTGTGGAAAAGCTTCAATCTTTGTATTGCCAGATTAAAGTGCCTCCCCACCATCACTTTTTCGAGGCAGCCACCACCGAAGGAAGAAGAAAAAGACTTAATCAAGAATTTTTATTCTCTCTATGATTCTGATACTGATTACATTCCTGACTTTGGTCCTATCCAGGCCTCCCAACGCTTCTTCTTCTCCTCCCCCGGGCGCTCCAATGCAATCATCGAGCCATCGGAATGCCCACCACGGCAGGCGGTAGTCGAAGGCGGAGTTGCCATTCAGACCTACTCTCTAAACCCGTATGTAGAATTCAGAAAATCAATGCAGGAAATGATTGAAGAACGTGGGTTTACAGATGTTAAGGCTGATTTCGAGTTCTTGCATGAGCTTCTTTTATGTTATTTAACGTTAAACCCTACACGCAACCACAAGTTCATTATTGGTGCTTTTTCGGACGTCATTGTATCGCTCATGTCTGTCCACCACTTTTGCTACAAAACTCAAGGCTAGAAACCATTGCATCCTTTTCATTTAAGAAAACATTTGTCTTGTTTGTTTATTTTTTCAGAATATTTTGATTTTTGGTATATTTAATTATAAGTTATTGAAGTTATTATACAATGTACTAGAATTGAAGAAGTTGGACAACTTCTCGGCAGTTGGTTTGATTTCTTCTCCTTTTTAATTAAGGATACTTTTTGGCATCCTGTAGTTAAAGGGGAATTACAAAACAGTGTTCCGTAAGAAAACTAATATTTGGTTGCTAATATTTAAGATATTTTATGTTACCTAGAAAACTATCCTATTAAAAGTTTATTTTTTCTCGAGATTTTTCTATTTTATTAAGTTTGTTTTTATCCTTAATCTCTGTAGTGGTATGATTCAATTCACTTTTTAATTCTTACTTAATTTTTAGATAAAAAAAGAAAAAGACAACACCATTGGTTAGTCCTCAATATTTAACGTATAGAGATTTAGCATGAGTGATCGCAAAATTGCATGTTAGACAAAAACATCTATGAGGGGTCACAAATTTTGTTACAAGATGATCGCATTGGTCCAAAAGAATGCTCAAACGATGTATATGTACATACTACGTTTGATCTACAAAATACCGATGCTAATTTTGATAATTGGTGTGTGTGTGTGTGTGTGTGTCATGCATGTTAATTATTCTATGTTGTTTAGGGACAATTATATTGGCGAATAATTTGAAATAATCCAAGAAAGAGATCCAACTACCATCCAATCAAAATGATGACAATTTAATAATGTAATAATTATCCTTAACCTAGTTGATTAAGTTAAGTAATTACCTAATTCCTATCACAAATTCTCAATAACAATTATTTAATTCTGATCAGTAACCTTTTTCTCAGGTTTAGGTATGATTTGTATATAAAAACAAAGCTAACCATTTTTTTGAATTTTCACCAAGTATTTCGAGGAGAGTGAGTTTGCATTTAGACAAACTTTACTGCAATATTGTGCTTCACAAAATTGTTTTGTTTTCACTTAATCCCTATATGCTTAACTTTTCGATTAACACTCGTTACAAGAATAGTTATTTCTCCTTCTAATAATGTTAACTTTTTAATATTACATTTAAGATAATATCGAAGTTCAAAAAATTTAAACGAGCAATTCGATTCATTTATAGTTCAAGCAAATAGTGACTGATTTTCACAAATGGCCCCTATCTTAAGGGTCACTATCAATATGTGTCTTACACTGTCAACTCACAGGAGTAAGTCATTCTATCAATCTTTATGTATATAGCATGATCCTTCATTGAGCATTTCATTATGTTGAATTTCACATTTTAGGATTTTTCTCCATCGACTAAAAGTGTTCAGACTAGCCAGTACAATTTTGTCCAAAGTATGCAGTAGATAGGTAGGCGGGTAGTACAGTGTATTTAAGAAATATTATTTTTCTACTGTTCGAAAGAAGCATTTCACTTTCACTAAGCAGTAGAAATTTACGATATTCTATTAATAATTAACATAAAAGAAAATGAAGCCTCTTTGAGCCTATTTTTTTAAAAATTCATTTTTTTTCAAAATTTATTTTCAACCACACAATCTTTAATAAAATAATAATATTACACGTAAATTCAAAATTTTTCTTTAATTTTTAATTTCACATTATTCATTAATCTACTATTCAAAATGTATTTTCTACCCTCAAAATGAGAATCAAAGAAAAGTGAAATTGTAGATATGTCATTTCAATCAAATCATAAATGGACCTATCAAACGAGTGATACTGATGTAACAAAGAACAATAATTGGTTTGATCACCCAAATGTTAAAAAATAATTTATTATTTCCTTATTTTAATTTCTTTTTTCTTATTTTCTTTTGAGATAATAATCTAATTATTTAATTTCTTTTTACCTTGTTTATAATTTTTAACTTATTTGTAAGAACGTCCATGTCATTATAAAGGATAGCTCTTGATTACTGAATCAAAATACATTGAGAGTTTTATTACGTTGTCAATTATTTAACACTTGTTATATATATATATATATATTTGGTAAATTTCTGGTCAGGAAGTAAGAAAAAATGTGAATAAATATGAAAAATAATTCTTTTAGAATGTGAAAATGGAAATGAGTGTGGATAGAAGTGATTCTAAAAATAATCGAATTCAAATAAGGGCTCAAATATTGAACTGAATAATTAAATTCTTGATTTCCTAAGTTCTCAATATTCTAAGAATTAACGAGCATAATTTTCAATATTCTAAAGAATCACGTAATCATAAATGTTAGTTGTTGACACATTCATAAGACTCATTTGTCAATATTTATCTAAATATTCAGCAGGACTAATAACTTATATATAATTAATAAATTTAAACTTTACCAATCATCCACTTATTAAAACAGCACCAAATTTATTAATTAATAATAAATGGGATAATTATAGTTGTGGTCTTAGATCTTTCACTTTTATAAATTTTATCTCGATCTTTTATTTGTGTCAACCACAGTCTCAAACTAAGATTTTGTTACAGCAAAAGGAAAATTGTCAGTTGGCCAAAAGTGAATGATTTAACTAAATTTTGACTAATTTTAAAAGGGTATAATAGTAACTTTACATTATCCTATATAAAAAAATTAAAATAATTAAATAAAAACGACCAAAAAATTTAAAGAAAATTATTCTTCTTTTCCTCCAACCCACATCCAGTTCAATTATTTTGTTTTGATCTTTTTTGTCCTTTTTATTCAATTTTTTTAATTCTTTTTATAGGATGATGTGTAAAATTTTCATTATACCATTTAAAATTAGTCAGACTATGACTTTTGATAAACTAACAGTCAAATAGACCACTATAACCAAACTAAATGCTTACTACTATAGATAACACAAATGAAATATTTGGATCATGTCAGCAAAAAATGAAATGTTTGGGACGAATTCTCCCTTAATTCGTTTACATTTTAACTATGACATACTTATAAGACCTTGTTACATATATATCAAACATTATATAATGGGTTACAAAGTATCATATGTCACTCTGTCATTAGTCAGTTTAAAACATAGACAACCTTTTCTTTCAATATTTTTTCTCCACATCGTTTTATGTAATCCCTTATTTATCATTTTTATGTACAAGTAACATAGTCCGATTTATAATTAAAAATACTAATATATATGTTTATTGTATAATACTATTTATAGAATTTTATCTCGTCTATTGAACAAAAGATATATAACAATTTTATTGGATAATGTGGTAGTGACTTCACACACTCACATAAATTGGTGCTAAATAGCTTTATTTTTATTTTTAAATAAAAGTGTTGATTTTAATATTAGGTTACTTATATATTTTGTCAAAAATGAATTTTAAAATCCGGCATGGTCCTAACCACCGAGCCGGGCCCTTAACCGGGCAAAGTAATCTTAGTTGATCGGATTGCACTTGACTTATTCACCATTTTTTACCCGGATTATAAAAATTATATTGCTAAATTTGGAGGATCAAGAAAATTAACACATGACCTCCACAACTCCACTTTAAAAGTGCAAGACTACCCTGGAGCCGACAACCAGCCCCCGTTTGTCCCAATTATTTCAATTTATAATTTTTGAAATATTATTTTTTTGGAGAATATATGATTAAAAAAAGAAAAAAATCGATTTACATATAATATTATTTTATAGAAAATTATATGATTGAAAATTATAATTTGAAATAATATGGGCCAAAAAGGGACATAATGACGTCAAGAAATTAATGCAACGTATATTGTATACACATATATAGTAAAAAATTCGGAAAAAAACAGGTCATTGACCTGGTAAATTCCACTCTAACCACTTAAGTTAGGCACTTATATTTTATTGAATGTTTAATGAACTAAAATTTAATTTATATAATTGATAAAATGTTTTTCATAACAAAATGGTTCATTTGATTAGAAATACTGTGTTATATAAAATTATAAAATTAAAGAATCCAAGCAAAATTATAAAATTAAAATGTAAATAATGAATAGTAACAAAGTTTACGGTGTCAATACTCTAAAGATAAAAATAATTAGTGACAACTAACTTTAAAAACTTTGATTTTATCTCTTGCACTCTAAAACTTTTAGGGTTTGTTTGATTGCAAAAATAGAATTTGGATGAAAAGAAAATGAATTTTAGGGAATTGAATTGCCTAGAAATTGTTTTACTCGGAATTGTCAATTATTGTGTTTAATTGGTATAATTTTTCACATGAAAAATGTTGAAATAAAAATATTTTTTTGTGTTCGTTTGGTTTTATTTTATATGAAAATTGTCAATTAAAGAGATTGAATTTACTGGTATTGTGGATATAATTTGTTCCCATTGCAAAAAAAAGTCAAGAAAATCATATGTCTTTTGGTGTTTGTTTGATTTTGTTTCACATGAAAATTATCAATTAAAGGAAAAAAAATTTACAATTAGGAATAGAATTTGTTTCCATTGTCCAAAAAAAAACAAAAGAAAAAAAAATCGGCAGCATAGCCTAGAAAACCAAGAAAATGTCCATGTGGTAACAAAAAAACCAAAAAAATAAATTCCATGAAAAAATTGCCATCAAACATGGCAAAAGTGGGAACGTGGAATTTATTTTCCATTTTCCATGAAAATCATGGCATATCAAACATGGCTTTTAAATAATTTTTTAAAGAGTGACCAATTAGCCACTTGCTAAGTGTATAGTTTATCGGGCCTCATAACTATACATGAAGTACAACTAAAGCTATATCTACGAAAATGCTACAGTTCATTTGATTTGTGTTTCAATTTTCATTTTTGAGTTCATTTTTTTAATTGCTTTTAGAGCTTGTTTGAAAATTACTAAAAAAACTAAAAACACTTTTATTTTGTTATTTTTGAAAATTATTTATTAAAACTTAAAACTAGAAAATATGTTTGGTTGAAAATTTGAAAAAAAAAAAATTATAGCATTTTATTAAATGAAATTTGATTATTAAATCAAAATTGAACAATTTAATGTTAATATACTATCATTTAACGTATACATTTTAAAGTTTGTGAATCTTAC